ACTGACCTAAGTATATTTCAGCTGCAGTCGATAAATTCTTGCTTTCTTTTCTAAACTTTGTCTCTTGATTGAAATCTTTCCCTCAAGAAGACAAGAGCCGGGGTCTCCTCATCGCCTCCTCGGTAACTCACAGACTGTCTGGGCCCCCTCCCCGGGAGATGGCGTCAGCCGTCCCCCAGCAAGTCAGATGATCCGTGGGGGTTGTTACACAATAGCCTAGTGGGACATAAAGCACACGACCTTCTTTCCTGTTTTTGGCTTCATTTCCAAGTTTGGAATCAGTTGTATTAACCGTACTTAAAATGCTGGTATCCATAGCGATAGTGCCCCCGGTGAACTCCTAGGCGTGTGTCAGACCAAGAGGAAGGGTCCCGGTGGCCGCGTCCCGTCCTGGAGACCCAGCTGCCTGTCACACTGCGGCACTAGAACTAACACTAACGTAAAAATGCCTGGCCCAGTGCAGTAGAACTGCTTAAGCCGCCAAACCTCACGACAGAAAGAATGGAATGAGGTTTGTAGATAGAAACCTCCCACAGAAAACGAAGGCCTGCGGGGAGTCCGGGACGGGATTTTCTCCCCCCGCCATTTTCACTTCCCTCTCCGCTGTGGCTCCTCAGCTGCTGAGGGAAGGGGCTCCGTGCGTGGGCTTTGCAGTCTTGGCACGGGAAGAACCAGGTGAGGCCCTGCTGCTGGGTCCCCAGTGTTCCTGGGAAGGGAGCGGTGACTTCCACTCTGCATGACCCTCAGGCTTCAGGCACCACCCGGAAGCCCGTAAGTCTGGGTCTTCAGGTGAGATGGGCATGGAGGTGACCCGTGTCCCCTGTGTCATTTAAGATGAGAGGGATGTGGTCGGGGCAAGTAGCCGGTAAGAGGAAGACGTGGAGCTTGGTCTTTTCAGAATGACCCAGCTGCACTTCCGTGGGTGCGATCCTGGGACGCGGGTCCCAGCAGCACTGGGCGGTGCAGAGGGGCAGCCGTGACCCTGGAGGGCCGGGGGGCTGCAGATCCGTGCCTCCTGGCCTTGTTCCCTGGTGGCTCGGGTGCTTCACCTGGCGCGTGCACCCCCGGCAGGGGTGCTAACCAGGCCCAGAGAGACCCGCAGCACAGCACCAGTTTGCCCGGAGACGCAGGGTGTGCAGCTGTGTGTGCAGCTGTGCAGGAACAGATGCAGGAGGTTTTGAGGAAGGATCAGAGCTCGGGAGCAGTTTCAGAATTTGAAGGGGTAACAAGTATTTATAGCAAGTTGTTCCCAGTTGTCTAATTGGCAGCACCCTGCCCAGCCCAGAGGGTGTGTCCTCAGCTCTGCTCCCTGTGTCTCTTTCACCCTAAGCTGCCTGCAGTTCTTTATTTTTAAAAAATTTTTAAATATGTCTTTATTGATTTCATAGAGAGGAAGGGAGAGGGAGAGAGAGAGAGAAACGTCAATGATGAGAGGGTCATGGATCGGCTGCCTCCTGTCCGCCCCTGACTGGGGAATCGAGCCGCAACCTGGGCATGTGCCCTGACCGGGAATCGAACCCCGATCGCCTGGGTCGGTGCTCAACCGCTGAGCCACGCCCGGCCGGGCTGTCTGCAGTTCTTTAGATGTGACACCATCTTCAGAAAGGTACCTACAAGGCTTGAGGACCTGGAAGCCAATCTCGGGGTTTTCAGTGGTATAAATTTGGAAGGATGGCGTTTTTTCCTGGGTTTCTGAGTCCTTGGAGCCAGTTCTGCCACTCGCCTGGAGGGCTGGCACCGGGTCCCGCTGCCCTCCCTGGCGCTCCTTATTTGGGCCTTGTCACTGCACCCTGTCCCTGTCCCTCCTGGCCTTGTCTCAGGTGTCGCACCATCAGACCGTCGAGCTCATGGTTCGGTCACTGGGGTCCCTGTTCCCGGGAGCCTTGGTCAGTGGTTCCTTGCTTTGCAGCCTCTGCTCTTCCAGTTCCCTCACCCAGCAGGCGGTATGCTCAGCCCCCCCAGACCCCCCAGACCCTCTGCTCTCACCCTCAGGGCCCTACTGTCTTGTTCTGCAGGATGGGGAGCTGGGGGGTCAGGAGGGGAGATGGGAAAGAGGGGCTGGTGGAGGCCCGTTTCCCCGGTTCTCTGCAGAATGGTCAGGGTTTGGGTTTGCTTTGGCGCCCAGCTCACATCGAGAGCAACCTGAAGCACAGAGAAAGACCCTTACGCACCATCTTTCAGTTATGCTGGCCTGGAGGAAGGGAGAGACGGAATCATCCCCATTCGAGTCAGGATTCAACATCTAGGGCACGACTGGAGGTTCTGCCAGTTCAGGGATTTTGCACCAGCCTAGGGGCACCTGGGCGCCCAAAAAACACCCAAACCTGGTCCCCAGTCCAGGGCATGAAGGCAGAATGCCTGGAGGTGGCCCATGGGCACGTTCCACAGGCCTGGAGAACACAGGGAAGACAGCACCTCTGCCGGGGTTCAGTGGGCACCAGGAGAGGGCTCCGCGGTCCCCGTCATACCACAGTCCACACCCCCACGGAAAGAGCTTTTTGATTTGGCGCAGATAACAGCCTGAGCTCTGTGTGTAAATGGAAACATGGTATTGCGTGTTTATAGAGATAAAATGACCTAGTTGAATGCACCTGGCACAGAGCAGGTGCTTCATATGGGTGACCAGTACCCCGCTGGCGGCCTGTGTTTATACTTTCATTCCCTCGGGCAGACACTTGGGCCCAGTGTGGTGAGAAACGTGTTATCTTAGCTCCTAAATAGCAGAACCAAGATCCAAGCCCACGGAGACGGACTATTCTTGATCCTTTGGTCCCGGTTCCTGGAGCCCGCCCACCCAGACCCAGCCTTCCTGTACTGAGCCCTTCCGTGGGCGGACTTTGTTCTTTGTTTGGTCAGCTCTCCGGCCACAGGGCCTCCCCTACTCGAAGGCAGAGGCTCCACAGAAGCCGGTGGCTTGGCCAAGAGCGTATTAATGTAATCGTGGCGAAATGGGAACTAGCCCAACCTCATGACCAGCTTGGGGAAGAGAACAAGAAACTTTAGGAGGAGCCCGTGTTGAGCTTAGTCTACAGTCTTGAGCAGGGCAGCCCTCTAAGGGGTCCTGGGGGGCCCTCTCTCGGTGGTGAGGCTTCCTCTCTACCCTGTGCGTGCGGAGAGCCCGTCTCCCTCCCGCATTCACTTCCCTGGAGGTCGCCTCCCCTATGCACACCCAGTGCTCACGCGGGGGGTTGGGATGTGGTGCCACCCGGGGGTTGGGAGGTGGCGCGTTGCACAAGCAGGCTGCTCTGCGTTCCTCTGTGGGATGGTCAGTGGGGCACAGCCACAGGGAGACAGTTCATTGCACCCTCAGGTCCCAGGCAGGACGGCAGCAGACCACAGGGGGAGCTCGGGCTCCAGAGGCAGGAGTGAGGCCACGCCCTTTACTGGGCTTTCCCCGGAAACGCAGACAGGGCAGGGGACCCTTGAGGTTGGCAGACTGAACAGCCCTGGGGGCTTTGGGCTGCAGGTATGGTCCCTGGTTTCCTGGCTGTGGTGACCCCGGTGAGGAGTGTTGCCTGCTGGGTGCAGAGCAGGGCCGGGAGAACTGGCTCTGCGTGGCTGGTGGGCAGGTCCCAGGAGTGCCAGGGGTGCTCCCGGCTGGGCTGGGGGGCATTCTCTTCAGCCAGGGGGGGGTTGAAAATGTCAGACATCATAATGTGCAGGAAAACATTACACACACCCACGCCCAGAGCCAAGAGCTCTTGCCAGCCTCTTAATCTGGTGTCAGACCTGGTCTGTGTACAGAGTAACTCCCTTTTTAAAAAACTTTAAACAAGTTTTTATTACACAAAGGTCACATAACTGGGAATTTCTCTGCTCTGTACATATTTATTCTTACTCTCCACAGAAGGACTGCTGCCTGGCCTCCCCCTGGGTGGCGGCCGGCACTAAAGTCCTGACTTTACCAGAACAGCAGTGAAAACGCCTCCGTGGTTTCAGTTGATGGCGGGGCTCTTGCCTTTAGTTATCAGGATGTACAAATGTCTTTTTTTTGTTTTTCCAACCCTCACCTGGGAATTTTTTTTCCATTGCTTTTCAGAGAAGTGGAAGGGAGAGAGAGAGAAACATCGATGTGAGAGAGACATCGATTGGCTGCCTCCTGCTCGCACCCTGACCACGGCCAGGGATCGAGCCTGCAACCCAGGTGCATGTCCTTGACTGGAATCGAACCCGGGTCCCTTCAGTCCACAGGCCGACGCTCTAACCACTGAGCAAAACTGGGCGATGTTGCCAATTTTTTAAAAAATAATGTTTTTACTGGTATTTTTTAAAGAGAGAGGGGGGAAGGGAGAGGGAGAGAGAAACATCAATGAGAAACTTCCATCGGCTGCCTCCTGCATTCCCCCTGCTGGGGATGAAGCCGTGTCTGACCCTTTGTCTGAGGACGGGCGCAGTGCATGGTGGCCTCGCCCTTCTCGGCCTGGTCAGCGCACTCCCTGCAGACGGGACACTGAGAGTGGAACCCATACCGTTTGCAGGTGAGCAGACGGGACCGAGGACTTAACCTCTTCCTGCCATCCATGGGGACATCTGAGTGGCCGCGCTGATGCGCGTGAATGCCTTCTGTGAGCCAGGCCTCGTTCAGTCCCGGACACGGTGCCTCCTTGGTGCTCACACACAGCTTTCCACTGAGGAAGCCGGAGCCTGGCCGTGGGGCCGCGGGGACCTGAACCCAGGCGTGGCCGGCCACTGTCTGCCCGTAGCCTGTGCCGGAAACGTGGCCCCACAGACGGGGCGCCTGCGATGTTCTTGTCCCGGTTCTGGCAGTGACGGGCTTGCATTCTGGTGTGTGCATCCCTGGAACGTGAACGTGTGACCGATGCCTCCATGAGGTGGGAGGCGTCCTGGACCAACTGGCCTCAGAGCGGCTTCTGCCTCCTGTTCTCGGCCGCACCTCTCACGGCTCACTTGACTTTCTTTCTCAAATCCAACAGAGAACGTCTTCTTGCTGTGGTCACCTATCTGCACATAGGCCTAAGGATCCAGTAGATAACTGTAAAATGCTCTTTATTATAATGTGTGGGCCTGGAGTTGTGTCCTGGCTGCAGCTTAGTCAACATAAAGTGAATTATCTTTTTCTTCCTCAGATTGAAGACGGCTACATGAAGGTCCGAGAGACGGCTGCCCCCACTCTTTCTTGGACAGGACGCAGTGTGGGGCCCCAGAGCCCTGTGTTGGCCACGGTGCACCTGTGACCTAGAACAGGACCATGAGCCTCGCGAGTGACAGAGGGACATCGGAGAGCATCTTTGACCTGGACTATGCCTCGTGGAAGATCCGCTCGACGCTGGTGGTTGCTGGCTTTGTCTTCTACCTGGGCGTCTTCGTGGTGTGCCACCAGCTCTCCTCCTCCCTGAACGTCACGTACCGTTCCCTGGTGGCCAAGGAGAAGGTCTTCTGGAACCTGGCGGCCACGCGGGCTGTGTTTGGGGTCCAGAGCACAGCCGCGGGCCTGTGGACGCTGCTGGTGGACCCCGTCCTGCAGGCCGACAAAGCACACGCCCAGCAGAGCTGGTCCTGGTTTCACATCGCCACGGCCACGGGCTTCTTCTTCTTCGAGAACACAGCCCTGCACCTGTCCAACGTGCTCTTCCGGACCTTCGACCCGTTTCTGGTTCTCCACCACCTCTTTGCCTTCCTGGGGTTTCTGGGGTTAGTGTTCAACCTCCAAGCTGGCCACTACCTAGGCATGACCACCCTGCTCCTGGAGATGAGCACGCCCTTCACCTGCGTGTCCTGGATGCTCCTGAAGGTGAGTGTGCCTGTCGGACGTGCAGTTTCTGCCCCCTACCCCGCGGAAGCTGAGCCGCTGGGGAGAGCGTCTCACGGGTGCGTGTCCATGTTGCGGGCCTGTGTCGTGGGCTCGAGTCGCGGGCTCTCTGTGGGCCGTGAAGCCGTCAGCAGGCTGACTGCAGACGGTGTCAGCCACAAGCTCATCTTGGTTTGAATTACATTTTATTTTTTTTAAACACATCGTTAAGGCTGCCAGCCTCAGAGCAGAGAAGATTCAGCAGATCTTGACTCTGGGTGGCATTTGTGAGCCCCAGAAAGTATAGTTTTTCCTTCCTTTCAAATGCTTTCTAAAAAAGTCAAAGTGATATATATGTCTGCTTAGATATCTTAAACTTTACGTTACGTTGCTTTCTGTGTAGCACGGGCCTGCCTCTTGACCAGTTTCGACGCGCACAGTTGATGCGGGTGTGAGGCTGTGCGCCGCTCTCCAGACCTACGCCCCTGTGTGAGGGAACTTGGGGCCTCCTGACTGTGCCTTTCCCGCGCCCCTCCCTCCATTCCTGGGAACCGCCGGACCTCACTGGGGTTCTAAAAGTCTCATCTAAAATCTCTTAACCAAGTCAAAATTACTCCATTTTTTAGGAAAAGCCCTTTAGCCCCGATGGACTCCTGGACGGAGGTCCCCTCAACGGTGTGGAATGTGTTGTGTCCATAGGTGGAGAACCTCACCTGCCACAGATCAGTGTTGACCGACCAGGTTCATCCGAGGAGGCGGGAGCTGGCGGGGGCACAGTGGCCTTGCCTTCACCTGGCACCTGATCTGGGTCCCCAGGGTGCTCCAGGGTGGGCTTCACTGGATCCTGCCAGCTGCCCAAGTAAATGTGGACGTAGAAATGTCCATTTTACGATGGACACGGGCCAATGACCCTGCGACAGTCTCACCTGCAGCCATCTGGCGGGGCCGTTTCCCAGGTGCTCATGCGCCAGGAGAGCCCAGGAGGTGGCGGCAGAGTGAGGCCCGAGCGGCTGCCACTGAGCCCGCTTCCCCCGGGAGCCACGAGTGGAACCACGGGATCAGATCCCAGCTCTGTTTTTAGAAAATGAACCCCACAGTCTCCCACTGTGGCCGCACCGTTTCTCATTCCCACCAACAGTCGGGGCCCGGCTTTTCCCCATCCCACCAGCGCGTCTGTCTTTCCCACGAAGCACCTGACGGTGTGAGGGGAGGTCCCTGTGGTCGGAGGTGACTTCCCCGGTCACTGGTGGCACTGAGCACTTTTTCAGACACTATTGGCCGTTCTTTGGAAAACTGTCTATTCAAGTCCTTAGCCCACCTTTTTATCAGGTTCTTTGCTTTCTTACTATTGAGTTTTGAGTTTGTTATGTATGCTGATTACTTTCTTATCAGATAAGTGATTTGCAAATATTTTCTCCCGCTTTGCGGGTGTCCTGCTCAGCCTACTGTTCCCTTTGCCGAGAGGACGCTTTCCTTTCCTGTCGTCCCAACCTTGACGTCTGTTTCTGTTGCCTGTGGTCTTGGTGTCATGGACTCGAAATCCTAGCCAAGACCAATTTCATGAAACGTTTTTTTCTGTTTTCTTCTGGGAGTTTTACAGTTTGGGTCTTACGTCTAAGCCTTCGATCCATGACCGCTGTGTGTGGTGTGAGGCTCGGGCTCAGCTTTGTTCTTTGGCATGTGGCTGTCCGGTTTTCCCAGCACCGGTAACTGAAGGGACTGTCCTTCCCCACGACCGTCTTGTCTCCTTTATGCTCAGTTATCGACCAGCCGTGTGTGTGGATTCATTCCTGGGCTCTCGGCTCAGCCTCACTGGCCTGCACGTCTGCCTGTCTGTCGGGACGTGCAGTTTTGTTTGCTGTAGTTTTGTAGCACAGTCGAGTCAGGAAGTGTGTCTCCAGCTCCCTTCTTTCCCGTGTCCATGTGGCCGTTTGTGGTTTCATGTGAGGGAGGAAGAGCCGCTCAGCCCACGTGCTGACAGCTGTGGGGACCGGACCTCAACCAAAACCCACAGGACACACATGCTGGGAGATTAAGTCCTGGGTTTTGAGAAAATAGATTATTAGTTATCTTGAAATTTTTTGGTAGAAGTTGTTTTTAAAAAGAAAGAAGTGATCGTCCTCCTGTCTCTCCTGGCCTCGGGTGATCCTGTGTAATGTCAGGCGTGTTTTCCTGACCGCGGCGCTTCTGGAGCCGGAGGAGGGGACAGCGCCCCCTGCTGGCCGCCTGCTCCGCAGGACGGAGGGGCTGCTGGGAGGCTCGGGGGTGACCAGAGAGCCGGCTTCGGGCTGGACGTTTCCTGCTTTCTCCGAAGCGTGTGAGGATGCTGTCCGTGCGGGACGGACGGAGGGTTCCCCACGTGTCTGCTCCTTACACCCCTCAATGCAGTACCCACAAGTCAGCAGACACCGGGACTGCCAGACGACACCCTACGGCCGTGCCGCCTAGGTGGGGCCACGGCACAGGAATGGCTCGTCCCGGGGTTTCCCCCTCACATGCAATTTGACGTTGCTTATAAACAGATTACACGCAGTGTTATTCTTATTGCCAAGTGAGCTTTGTTCCGTGTTGACGTCTTTTACAAGTTGCTTTGCTTGTTTTTCCTTTCACAGGTTCCCCTTTATTGTGTGGGATTTATTTTTGGTAATTTGTAAAATCTTTAAAGTAGCCTTTGTCATCTGTCAAATATCTCCCTGTGCATCCTTTTAACTTTCTTTTATTGTTCAGAAACTTTGTTGTGTGTGAAGTCTGTCGGTTCTCACTGGTGTGGGCCTGGCAGGCCCCTCCCCACACAGGGATTCTGCAACTGTCTCCCCATGGCTTTCCCCCGTATTTTTGTGGTTTTCTTTTAAACATTGATATGTAACTATTTGAGAATTATTTTTCAGTAAGGTGGGGAGACCCACGGTCCGCCCTCCTCTGCCTGCCCGGCCGCCAGGTGGGCTCCCCATGTTTACTTGTCTGCACGTTGGGCTGTTGACCTGCTGTTTGCACTGGCGCCACCTCGTTTATTTCTGCCTGTTGTTTCGCTGTTGAGTAAGGCGCATGCAGTTCTCAGCTCTTTCCAGACCCACTGGTCTGTTCCTGTGTATCTACTATACCAGTTGAGCATCAGTTAATTGGTTCAGTTGATAAAAGTACGAATGTATTCTCTTAAGTGGACTAAAGCTGCAGGTGAGCTCGGGGGCAGCTGCAGAGTCTTTTTGACGTTTTCCCATCAAAGAGCATAATGTGCCCCTTTTACTCAAGACCCTTCGGTTCCTCTGCATTAGAGGTCACTTCACATGCACACGGGAAACATAAAAGCTATGCTCACCACCCCTGGTCATCAGGGAAGTCAAACCAGAACACAGTGGGACATCACCCCACCTGTCAGCACGGCCATTACCAAAAACACAGGAGAGCACGTGTGGGGGAGGAAGGGGCCTGTGCCCTGCTGGGGGTGCAGACGGTGCAGTGGACAGTGTGGGGAGGTTCCTCAGAAAATTAAAACCATAACTACCATGGGATCCAGCAATTCCACAGCTGGGTATTTATCTAAAAAAATCAAAAACACTAACTCAGAACACCATGTTCACTGCAGCATTATGTAGAGTAGCCAAGATATGGAAGCAGCCTGAGTGTCCACTGATACGTGAGTGGATGGAGAAGGTGTGGCACATGTGTGTTGTGTAATGGAATATTACTCGGCCATAAAAGGAAGGAAATCCTGCCATTTGCAACAGCATGGATGGACCTGGAGAATATTACGCTACATGAAAGTCAGACACAGAAACACAAGGACCACACGATCTCACTTATATGTGGAATCTACAAAAGGAAACTTTAGACACGAGAACAGATTGGGGTTTGCCAGAGGGAGGGGTGGGGAGCGGGCAGTGTGGGTGAAGGTGGGCACAGGCACAAACTTCCAGTTGTGAAATAAGTTAGTTAACATGTAACTTAAGTCATGTGACTTACAAGTTCTCATCACAACACACGGTAACTGCGCATGGTGGCAGCTGATCCCTAGACTCACTGTGGCCACTGTTCTACAAAGCGGCTGGTCTGCGGCTTAGGCTTCAGGGGGTGCGGGGCACCTCGCTGTCAGGTGTTTGGATGTCGGGTTCAGAGCATGTTCAAGGTGGGCCAGGCTAAGCTATGATATCGGTAGGTTAGGTGTATTAAATGCATTTTCAACTTCGGGGGAGTTTCCGGGGTGTGACCCCACTGTAGGTTGAGGAACATCTGTGTACAAATACCAAATGATTCGTACGCCTGGAACTAACAATGTGTTGAGTAGTCACGTGTCCCTATAGATGCCACGGACATGGACATGCAGAGATTTTCATGAAGTGCCTGCTCCATTTGAAGTAGAGAAGAAGAGCCCAGTCACTGCCTGGCACCTGTCCTGCTCTTACATCACCAGGGCCAGCAGTGCCCGGGACTGTGCCCACGCCACTTGGGAGCCCACGTGCAGTTTTGGCTGCTTGTGAAACACGGCTGTAACCCAGAGTCACCTGCCCAGTGGAGCAGAGGCCCAGGGCAGTGGCACACAGGTGCTGTGTCACCTGAATCTGGGCCTCACTGGCCACTGCCAGCCTGTGTGCCAGAGCTCAGTGCCCTCCTCGCTGGCCGCCCTTGGACCTGGTGATGGAGCTGCTTGGCAGAGTGACCTATTTCTCACCCAAACTGGGCACTTGGGAGAGCGAGGCAGGTGGCAGGCTGGTCAGCAAGCCGGGTGGACATGACCCCTGCTGAGAGCTGAGTGCAGTGTGAGCACAACCTAGACAGCCCAGTGGGCCTCTGTCTGCAGGTGAGGGGACAGGTGGAGGCCGCAGGTGCTCGTGTGGGCTGTGTTCCCCCCTCATGTCACTGTCTGAGGGACAAGGACCCTCCTGGTCCGAGTTCCTCCATCTTCCAGGTCTGTCCCCTCCAACCCGGATGCTGTGCTGTGTGGGCTGTGTCACCCTTCAGTGCAGGGTCCGCAGGAAGCCTGTGGTTCCGATCCGCCAGGAGCTGGGACTCCGCGCAGGCCTCTCGTGTTTTATCATGAGCTCAGTCGGGCAGACTCAGCGCCCTGTGTTTCTGGGAGGCCGCCTGGGGGTCTTGGCACGAGCACCAAGGGGGCCAGTGAGGCGTGGCCGTCAGAGCTGGGGGGGTGAGCTATGGGCCGTCTTCATGTTCCCTTTGCAATTTTAGCTACAACTGTTGGAAACTAGTTTAAATGTGAATTTAGAATAATTTTAAGGCAAGTTCATTTTGTCCAAGGGCTCCCGGGGTAAAAGTACCAAAAAGCACGTAGACCAGGAGCTGTGTCTCCTCCTGAATGTCTCTCTCCTGAGACTTTCTCCCAGGTGAGGTCTGGGGGCTCCGTCAACAGGACCAGCAGCAGCTTCCGGTGCTACTGAGCGAGCTCTGGTCCTACTCAGTGTGCAGAAAGGCTGAGTGTGCTCGGCACAGGGGGCCCCTGCGTTGGTGCTGCGCTGAGGGCCTTCCTCCCGAGCTTCACCAGGGCAGGATGGGGAGGGAGCCCTGCCTGGCCGTGGCTCTGTGCACTCCTGGGGACTTGCCGCGCTGACTGCCTGTGTTGTGTCCCTGTAGGTGGGCTGGTCCGACTCTCTGTTCTGGAAGGTGAACCAGTGGCTCATGATCCACATGTTCCACTGCCGCATGGTCCTCACCTACCACATGTGGTGGGTCTGCATCCAGCACTGGGACGGCCTGCTCCACAGCCTGTACCCGCCACACCTGGCGCTCTTCCTCTTCGGCATGAGCCTCCTCACGCTGGTGCTGAACCCGTACTGGACCCATAAGAAGACACAGCAGCTGCTCAACCCCGTGGACTGGAACTTTGGGCAGCCGCCACCCCGGAGCAGCGCTCCCCACAGGGCCAACGGCCAGGTGCCCTCAAGGAAGGGGCAGTAGCCTCTGGGGAGCACACAGCTGGCCTCCTGGCGCCCCTAGTGCTGACGTCACGGCGAGGGGGCCGTGGGTCCTGCGCGCCGAGCGCTGTTCCTAAGAGACTGACTTGGTGGTTGTTAGTATTAATTCCCAAGTCACCACCGAGTGTCTCCAAGACGTGATTTGCCTTCAGGAACAAAGCTTTTCCATACTGGTGTCCTTGTCTGTTATGGTCCTGGGAGCTCGCCCGGGTGGGCTGCTCGTCCTGAGAGAGGAATAGGGTGGAGGCAGGGCTGTGCCTGAAAGCAGGCAGCCCGGGTTTCCTCACCTTCGGCTTTGCTGTGCTGCACAGATGTGGCGTTTTCTACAAACGAGGGCGGTGTCTCCCCAGCAGAAGGGTTACGACTCCTGTATTTCCATGCCCACCGGTTGCTGTCGTCAGGAACCCCACCTGCCAGGTCTGCGAGGGCTGCCTGGACTGAAGTGACTTCCTATTAGAAATGCCACCTGCTAGTGTGGCCCAGTGGGCAGGGATTTTTCCCGGCTACACCTTCAACAGGTGGCTCTCCTCTCAGCTGAGAAGAATTGCCCCAAGGCAGAAAAGAAGGCGACCTGGTACATCGTTCAAGTCTCCCAGGGCGTGAAATTTCAGATCGGCGCGAAGCGGTGCCACCTAGTGGCGCGGCGGTGTAAAGACGCCGTGTGGGAACCACCACCTTGGAGGTCGCCCCGCGGAGCGAATGTGGGGTGGGTGACCCAAAGGTTTGCAGGTTTTTATCAAGGAAGCTATAAAACAAGAATTATGTATTCACATTGTGTGGCCCAGTTGACAAAATAAGGAAGATAGTAATCAGAATTGTCTAGATTTCAGAGCCTTTTCAAATTGACCGAGTTGCCAACAGGTGCCCAAATTAGACCCCAATTCCTTGGTTTGTTTTCTCTAGATTTCAAGACAGGCAGTGACCGCTCTCCCTGCAGCTGTGGGGCAGGCCCTGCCCTCAGCTGCTGGGCCGCCGCCCTGAAGCTCCTGCAGCCGTGGGCTCCACCCTGCTTCCCTCAGCTGTCCGGTGTCAAGCCCCAGGGGCCATCGGCATCACTGCTGTGCCTGGGTGGACTTTGCACCCCCCCCACAGATGCACAACATTTTATTCTTGTCACAAGTGTGCAGTTAAAATCAAAACTTTATTTTTATCGAAAGCACCTTTGAAGGACATGTGTCTGTCGGTGGTGAAATCGTTTGGGACCTGGGGCTGTTACGTACGCGGGACCCTCAGGATCGTGTGTTGTGATTGCCAGTGCTCTGACTTTATTGGTCACGTAACCCTACTTATCGCATCTTAAGATGTGAGTTAAACCCTAACAGTACCCAGAGGATCGGGCCCCTGCTGCGGCGACTAAGCCGCGGTGCGCCCCTCCCCGCCCGCGGCCTGCCGGTCCTGTTCCTGTGGAAGCAGAGAGAGGTGGCAGACATCTAACAAAGTGAAATAAAGTAACCGGTGTTTACAGACCCCAAGAGGTGTCAGCTCTTGCCTCAGTGCCGTTCCCGTCTCCACGAACACTCTGTCCCTGACACACAAGTGATGGTGAACCTCCGTGTGCTCACGAGTCCGTGTAGGGTGTGAAACATTCGGCTCAGTTTTTACCTGACCTTCACCGGGACCGACTGTGCCCCCCAGTACCTCAGTGCAGGGGTGTGGACGAGGGCTGCAGGGGACAGGAGAGGAGCCGGCACGTGTGGGTGACACTCTGGAGCCGCAGCCCAACAGCGGAATTGGGGCAGAGGCACCAGCCATCCCCCAGGCGCCCGGAGTGCGCTGTGGCCGCCTGGCCTGTGACTCACGTCTGCTGAGGGCAGAGGCTGGCCTGGGAGGTTCCCGCCACAGACACGCTGGGGTCTCCACAAGACGGGAAGATCCGGGGACACCTGCCCTTGTGCTGTGGAGTCGTAAAGACTCCCAGTTCCTGACTCTGCTCACTTGTCTGTGTGTTGATTGAGGTCAGATGCCTTCCCCGCTATCCTCACACGAGGTTCGAGGTTCGAGGTTCGGGCAGCTTTCAGCCTCCCGCTCGAGGATGGTAGTCGGGGTTAGAAATGCCGCCCCCACACACACTGCTTCAGGAACAAGGCTGGGGGCGCTCACAGGAGGTGCAGAGGTGGGGCCTGCCCACACCTTGGGGTTAGGAGTCAAGATTTGAATTGGGGAGGGGATGGGGCAGAGCATAGCAGGGTTCCTGCTGAGCCAGCCTAAAGGATGCCAGCTGGGGGCAGATGGGGGAACAGACCTCACCTGGGGAAGGAGGGGAGGAGCAACCTGATCTGATTGAAGGGGGCCAGGTGGGGCGGGTGGGGGATTCTGGCTGAAGTGGCTTAGCAGGAACCTGGCTAAGGCTGAACAGTGAAGGACACCACTCACCGCGAGTCAGGGCCTCATTGGTCGAGCATTTGGGGAGCCTGGTTAGAGTCAGGTCCAGGAGAGACTGTCCCTTCTTGACCGAAGGATGGCCGTGTCCCCAACTCCCAGTCCTGCTCCCTGGATCCCAACTGCTGACTCCCACGGTCGGGCTTGCTCATGGAAACCTGCTTCCTAACGGGCACCAGCCCCTTTGAAAGATGTGAGTTTGCTCAACTGACCTAATGTGTGTCACGTAACATACAACCCACCTGTCCCCTGAACAAGATCACCCTGCCAGTGGGGCAGAGCTGGGGCCTCACCTGGGAGAGCCAGCTGCAGGGGCGGCCACTGCCCTCTGCCCACCAGGCTGCCCTGCAGGCACAGGCCCCGGGAGCTCTGCATGCCCGCCAGGACACTGGGGTCCCTGCCCTTCTCTGACATCTGCATGCGGCCCGGCTGGTGCAGTCCAGATGCCCATCACTGCAAGAGTCCTGACCTCTGAACCCAGAGCGCCTTTCCCAGGTCCCTGGGGGAGGTTCCAGGGGCCTGGTGCTGACTGGCTGCTGTTCTGCAGTGGGGCCTGGGCAGGGTGAGCCCTGAGATTAGGCCCTGGGGAGAGTGCCCGTTTGAGGAATGTTGTTATGCTTGATTAGCTGGGGTGGTGAGGGAAGGGAGAGGGTCTCACTGTTAGATAAGGAGCCACATGTCTGAGTGTCTTTGAATCCTTTCCAGAGCTCAGGCCTCACAGGTTACTCACAATATTAGAATTACCCCGTTTTGTCAGAGCTCAGAAAGCAAACCAACCGTGGGCATGTGTGTCTCCATATGAAATTAGCAGCTTTCGCTGAAACTACTGGCAGGGAAAGGAGATCATGTCTCTAGTAATACAGTCAGTCCCATGGACCTTGAACACAGGAAACCTGGGGACAAAAAGGACACTCAGCTCCCTAAGTTACAAATACCACCGACTGGCGTGTGGCCCAGGCAGCCCCTGGACCTCAGACCTCCCGTCACTGGCTATGTTTGGTGCTGGTGGACTCACTCCGAACTCCGTGGCCTTCTGCCTTCAGCCAGGCACAGACAGACAAATGGCAGGAATGACAGATATGAGACAAAGCTATGTCATCAGTAAAGGGCCTCCTGAGGATGTAACAAGTCACTTACAGGTCCGACCTCAGGTGAGCCCCCCACAGGTTAGCGCATTCCTGGGACCAGCTCCTTCCACCTGCAGGTCTGTCTGCTGTGGGGTCACCCCCGGCAATTAGTTAGGAGATCTGGTGACAAGTCCCATCTCTGCCAGCAGCCAGTTGTTTCACTTCTGTGTAGCCGCCTCCTTGCTGCAGGTGCTGTTTCTCCCTGTGACACGGGAGGCCTGGCAGTTCGTGACCCCGGTGCCCGCCCTGCCTTGGACGCCAGCACTCCTAGGAGACAGTGGTGGGGGCCAGGTTCCGGGCAGGCGACCAGGTGGGTGCCAGGCCTCCCGCCCCCTCCACTCAGGAAGTGCTGCAGACAGGAAGGAAGGAAGGAGTTTGGAAAACATGCACTATATTTGGTAAGGAGCTGCCTGATCCTACCTCAGACTGGCTGGATGCCCAGCGAGTCCAGACCCCGAGACCCAGTTTTCCATCAGTGGTTTTCTAGTGGTGGTGCATTGGGGTGCCGGTCACAGAGGGAGACGTCATATCAAACAGGATCGGAAGAGCATGCTGACCCTGTCACCCGGGAGATTTAAAGCGAGGCCGACCTTGCCTGGCCTGTGTGGCTCAGTGGCTGAGTGTCGACCTGTGAGCCAGGAGGGCACATGCCCGGGTTGTGGGCTCCCTCCNGCGGGGGCGCGGCGAGGGGGGGCTCCGGCTGTGCGGGGAGGGCCGACGGGACGGAAAAGGCCGAGGATCGTCGGGAAGAGCCGAGTGATGTGTACGGAAAGAGCCGAGGGCTGACGGAAAGAGCCGAGGGNATTGAAGGGGGCCAGGTGGGGCGGGTGGGGGATTCTGGCTGAAGTGGCTTAGCAGGAACCTGGCTAAGGCTGAACAGTGAAGGACACCACTCACCGCGAGTCAGGGCCTCATTGGTCGAGCATTTGGGGAGCCTGGTTAGAGTCAGGTCCAGGAGAGACTGTCCCTTCTTGACCGAAGGATGGCCGTGTCCCCAACTCCCAGTCCTGCTCCCTGGATCCCAACTGCTGACTCCCACGGTCGGGCTTGCTCATGGAAACCTGCTTCCTAACGGGCACCAGCCCCTTTGAAAGATGTGAGTTTGCTCAACTGACCTAATGTGTGTCACGTAACATACAACCCACCTGTCCCCTGAACAAGATCACCCTGCCAGTGGGGCAGAGCTGGGGCCTCACCTGGGAGAGCCAGCTGCAGGGGCGGCCACTGCCCTCTGCCCACCAGGCTGCCCTGCAGGCACAGGCCCCGGGAGCTCTGCATGCCCGCCAGGACACTGGGGTCCCTGCCCTTCTCTGACATCTGCATGCGGCCCGGCTGGTGCAGTCCAGATGCCCATCACTGCAAGAGTCCTGACCTCTGAACCCAGAGCGCCTTTCCCAGGTCCCTGGGGGAGGTTCCAGGGGCCTGGTGCTGACTGGCTGCTGTTCTGCAGTGGGGCCTGGGCAGGGTGAGCCCTGAGATTAGGCCCTGGGGAGAGTGCCCGTTTGAGGAATGTTGTTATGCTTGATTAGCTGGGGTGGTGAGGGAAGGGAGAGGGTCTCACTGTTAGATAAGGAGCCACATGTCTGAGTGTCTTTGAATCCTTTCCAGAGCTCAGGCCTCACAGGTTACTCACAATATTAGAATTACCCCGTTTTGTCAGAGCTCAGAAAGCAAACCAACCGTGGGCATGTGTGTCTCCATATGAAATTAGCAGCTTTCGCTGAAACTACTGGCAGGGAAAGGAGATCATGTCTCTAGTAATACAGTCAGTCCCATGGACCTTGAACACAGGAAACCTGGGGACAAAAAGGACACTCAGCTCCCTAAGTTACAAATACCACCGACTGGCGTGTGGCCCAGGCAGCCCCTGGACCTCAGACCTCCCGTCACTGGCTATGTTTGGTGCTGGTGGACTCACTCCGAACTCCGTGGCCTTCTGCCTTCAGCCAGGCACAGACAGACAAATGGCAGGAATGACAGATATGAGACAAAGCTATGTCATCAGTAAAGGGCCTCCTGAGGATGTAACAAGTCACTTACAGGTCCGACCTCAGGTGAGCCCCCCACAGGTTAGCGCATTCCTGGGACCAGCTCCTTCCACCTGCAGGTCTGTCTGCTGTGGGGTCACCCCCGGCAATTAGTTAGGAGATCTGGTGACAAGTCCCATCTCTGCCAGCAGCCAGTTGTTTCACTTCTGTGTAGCCGCCTCCTTGCTGCAGGTGCTGTTTCTCCCTGTGACACGGGAGGCCTGGCAGTTCGTGACCCCGGTGCCCGCCCTGCCTTGGACGCCAGCACTCCTAGGAGACAGTGGTGGGGGCCAGGTTCCGGGCAGGCGACCAGGTGGGTGCCAGGCCTCCCGCCCCCTCCACTCAGGAAGTGCTGCAGACAGGAAGGAAGGAAGGAGTTTGGAAAACATGCACTATATTTGGTAAGGAGCTGCCTGATCCTACCTCAGACTGGCTGGATGCCCAGCGAGTCCAGACCCCGAGACCCAGTTTTCCATCAGTGGTTTTCTAGTGGTGGTGCATTGGGGTGCCGGTCACAGAGGGAGACGTCATATCAAACAGGATCGGAAGAGCATGCTGACCCTGTCACCCGGGAGATTTAAAGCGAGGCCGACCTTGCCTGGCCTGTGTGGCTCAGTGGCTGAGTGTCGACCTGTGAGCCAGGAGGGCACATGCCCGGGTTGTGGGCTCCCTCCCCCGTCGGGGGCGTGCAGGAGGCAGCCGATCAATGACACTCTCTCATCATTGATGTTTCTCTCTCTCCCTCTCTCCCCCTCCCTTCCTCTCTCAAGTCAATTAAAGAAAACCAACCGATTCAAAAAAAATGAGACTGACCGGGACACTGGAGCCAGCAAGGGCGGCTCGACTGCTCTCCACGCACGTCCCCCGATGGAAACCCGGTCTTACTACCAAAGAGCCAGCCTGCGAGGAGAGCGTGTCTCACGCCCACTTCCTTGCCCC